TTCTTTGCGTTGGAAACAATAGTTTTGATGCTAGAGACTGGGAGCTTGAGCTAATCAGCGATAGCCTGATAGGTTTGGCCGTCGTGGCGTTTTGCGACGCAGAGGTCGCGGATCTGCCTCGAATGCTCCACTCTAGGTCAATTAAAAAACTGTTAGTACTGCGGCAATGAGGGTGTCTGCGTTTCAGGACTCTTACCTTGTGCCAGTCATGGCAAAACCCAGAATGAATGGCTTGGGCGTTTACTTTTTTGTCCCCTATTTTCCCTACTGAGGGACTCGACGTCCCATAACTTGCGATGCAAATATCGTCTCGTCAAAGTGAAAATAGCTTCTGATTCGTTCCACTCTGCGCTATTCGATGATATTTTGCTTTGATTGGCTGGATCTATGCACTACTCAAAAATTCAGGATTTGATCTCGCCAGCTGTTTGGACGTAGGCTTTCTGTACCCACTGTACATAAGCGCTTTGAATTATTGATGGTGCTCATGAGAAACATGCACGAGTAGATATGGCCCCGTCCAACATGGCGTAGTTTCGCTGGTTACAGGTATTTTTCTTGGGGGTCATGTAGCAGCACGAGGGGAGTCTGCTGTGGATATTGTGCGTATCCTTCAGCGCTCATTGTGTGGAGCGTCAACAGAGAGTCAAATTCGTTTGCCTGGAATTATTCACGCTGTGGATAGAGGCTACCAGCCGGAGGCAGTCAATCAACAGATAACTGACGTTGGCGGCAGCATTATTGGTACGCACAAGCGCACTGGGAGATTCCCGTTTAGCTTTGGAAAACCTCCAAGTCAGTATCAACAAGCAATAAGTGAGAAGGGTGAACGATCAGCTTACTGGGCAAGCAAGCGGCTTCCTATCAGCCCAAGCACATTACCTGCGCATGCTCATGCACTTGCATATCGTTCCGGTCTCGGCAAAGTGGCTTTGGGCGTCACAACAGCGCCAAATGCTGGCCCTGGGCATTGGACCTACGTAACTCGTCCAACACCGCGCTGTAATCATCAGGATGACGCTTTGTTTTCTGCATTTGAAGACAACGTGCAGCTGCTTACGACGACACAGAGGACGCCAGATTGGTTTTTACTGCGCAAGTTTCGGATCACTGGATCCGTTGCAGCGAAGATTTTCAAAGTCATTTCTCGGTATAGTGCTGGTTCCTGTTACAGATGACGCAGTGATCGATCTTGTCAGTGATCCAGACGTTCAAACGATCATTCTTTTGCTTTCGCTGCAACAATCAACTCAACAATCGCGTGCAACTTTGATGGAGCAGCCATTTTCAAGGGATGAACTCACGAAAAAGAAGTGCGCAGAGCTGAAGAACATGTGTCGCGACGCCCTGCTAATAGATCGTCTGCTTGGCTCTTCTCCTGCTGATGAGCCTGAAAATGACGAATCAATTGAACATGCGAGGTTCACCATTGATCAGACGCTATTGTCAGTTTGGTTTATGGCACCATTTTCAACTCAAGATACGAAGATTGGTTCCACAATGAAGACAATATCGCTGAGCACGTCACATTTTTCTTGACAAGCACTCCCCGTATCACATTGAGCGGTTGAAATCGTACGGACAGTTGTGCAGGTACGGTAAACATGAATTTTCTAGGAATCTTGAGCAAATTCTAAGACATACATGCAGGAGAGGTATGCCAGTAGCTGCGTTCTCCCCGGATAATGTGGTTTCGGTTCTAAATGTTCAAAGTGGACGATTTTATGCGTTCATGGAATACAAAACCAGAACAACCGCGCGCACAGTGCAAAGAGAACAAGCACTAGCGGTCTCGTGGGGAAGTTTTAAAACAGTAGACGTGAGCGCTATGGGCTTTGGTGGAAGACAATGAGATGTAGTTCCAGAGACAAGTCATCGTCTTCAACTTCTACACAACATATTCTGCGGTGGTGTACAAGACGGCTTTCTTGTGTACGCCTCTTCGACGAAAATTATTCGTGTTGTACACGTTGTAGTCGAGCCTCGAGCCTCGAGTCTCTTGGACGTATCGAGCCACGTCAGAAGCGATTCAAAAGGGGCGTTTTACTTGGATGTATGGTGAAAATGGCTCCGTTCCCAAGTTTGATTCTGCTCTGTTAGGACATTGCATCGACCAGGCAACACTAAAACAAACTCTGATGCTTTAGAAGGCGCTAGTCAAGTTGATTGACGACAGAGGCCAGTCACTACCTCCCGCAAAGCACATCATACCGACACTCGTTGCACTTTGGAATCGAGTTAAAGGTGGCATCGATGTGTAATCGCGTTATTTGAAAAACGTAAAATCGAAGCACTATCGATTGTCTCCAACCGCAACGGTGTGGCTTCGTATGCTGATGTCGTTGGTGTACAACGCACACCAAACGTTTCTCCTGCTGCAGGTGTGTAATACGTCAGCGTGATTTTTGTTTTCTGACTAACGTGTTTCTAGTCTCATTCCTTTTTGACGAACAGCACGCTTTGTACTACTTACAAGGCGTATCAAAAACATAAACAGAATCTCCCAAGTTTTGCTGCATTCTGTCGTGAATCTGCTGTGGCATTCTCACGACATTGAAATCAAGACCACAGCCGCCTAGGATTCAAGACCAGCTTTGAGTGCAACGTATGCAAGGTGTCGTTGTGCCGGACAAAACGCTGGGATAACGATCAGTCGTGCTTCGATAAATTTCACGCTGATAGAAAGCTACCAAATCCTTGCAAAGCTTCTGAGCGGCTGACATCCACCAAGAAGAATGAAAATCGAGCTCCACCACCTCTCCGAAACAGATCCACATCACTAGATGCTCCCAGTACGCGAGCTCCAAGTGTTCGTCTTACCAGCAAGAAGCGCAGGAGATCACTACGTCTCCAAGACTGAGGCAGTTCCTCCATCCGGCTGCGAGTTTTTTATCTTAAAATTTAGGATAAATTCACACAAAGCCGCTGTGCGGCATACATGATTTTGACGAAGCTCTTCGAAGATGCTAGGAGGCCTAGGAGCAGCTCCGTAGGCCCACATACAGAAGAAACGTCGATATTTCATTTAGCATAAATCAAACTTTGAACGTCCTCGTGGACATTTCAAACTGGGCTCTCAGAAATTGATCCTTATTTTTATCCTAAAAATAGTTTTGTTGGGGATAAGCGACTGACAAGCCGCGAGTTAAATTACTAACGTTGGTTACTGTATTGTTATAAACTACAACGCTTTCTAAAAAATAGAAGGTTTTTATTAAAAAGTTTGTTTTATTTAATCCGACCTCGGTCACTTCTTAAGTATCCTTAAGAAGTAAGATGTCTGAAGCTTTTCTATTGGCTACATATTTGACCAATTCTTGCGTATTGATCTGTGGATGTCGACATGAAGGATGCGTCACCAGCGCCTTCCACCTCCTCCGGGCGATTCCAGCGCGCGGCTCCTTCGTCTGCGTCGTCTTTTGGACACAACCGCCCGGCACTACGAGAACGCACCTCTCCCAGCTACAGATCGACGGCCACAAGTATGTCAGCCGCCGTATGGCTTCGAAAGCAGACACTAACGTTCTGTTGTGTGTTGTGCATTGCATAGGTCGCTTAATGGCACCAACGGCATCGTCGTTAGCGCATCGATGATTTGGATGTTTGATCCTGTCTTCGACCTGACTCCTACGGAGCCCACTGATTTCGGGAGTGAGCCAAGCGATCGTCGATTTGCAGAAACGTTGACGCACAGCAAGTTGAACAGGTCATCGCTTTCTAACGCACTCTTGCTGGCTCTGTTGCAGCACTGGTAAAGAA